CCGCGAGAAATCCACCCCCGATGTCTTCCACCCCAGCGGGCGTGCTGGAGGCGGCGCGTGGGCGGCGCGGCGGCCGCTCAGACGGAGCAGGGCGGGAACGAACAGAGATCTGCGACCCCTTCGCTGGGATTAGGAGCGTGGCTCAGGTGCGGCTACTCCATAGGCCGCAGCAGCGCTGCTAATGAGACTGGACCCAACACCAACGGTTGCTGCAAACGGAACTGAATTTCGTTTCCCGTACCGCGTCGGGCGTGGTGTACAACGGCCTTGAGGTGGCGCGGCGTAGTGTCGCATCGTTGTGGCACCATTTCTCTCTATCTCTCTCCCGCTCATTCTATTTTTTTTTGTGCCACATTCCAGTGAGCGGTAACGAGAGATGCGCCCATTGTCTTTTGCATTATTACGGCCCCTGCGATCGCTGCGCCGCTGCGCGCGCCACTGGAGCTCCGCTGGCTGGAGCCTCCATGACACTCTTTTGTCTCCAGCGAGACTCATCGGGTGTTGCGGGTGGTCGCGGTGCTGGTGGACGGTGTACCCAGAAAAACGGTTTCGTTGATTCAATAGAATGAAAATATAATGGAATGTTTTTCTTTGGACTTACCGGAATTTCATTCATTCAAGGAGGAAAATATCCGTGGGGGAAAAAAATTTCAAAGTATAGCAGAAGAATTCTCGTATTTTCCATTGGTTAAATTTCCATTGATGTGAGGGATTCTCCGTTATTTCAGTGGTACAATTTTCTCGGCTTGGTGGTGCTGTCGGTCGCGTTGCTGGTGTATGGTGATGGTGAGAAAGCACGTTGAGGAAGGGCGGAAGGAGACAAGTTTGGTGAAAAAGAAGCCGTTTGCAGACAGCAGGGGAGAGGACGGGGTGGCCGCGAGTTGCGCGGGTCCGGAGCTGCAACAAGTAGTGCGGAAGGAAGGTGGCCGCGGAGGAAGTCGCAGTGGCAAGGCGGGGGCCGGGAGAGAAAAGAAGCGGAAGCGGAGGGAGTCGCGCTCGAAAACAAGAAAACGAGAAGATGAGGGAAAAAGAAAAGATATCGGAGGGAAACTGATGCCACGCCGTGAGAGTTGGAGGGGAAAGGGAGAGGCGGGCAGGAGGAAGAAGGGGAGAGTGGGGCCTGCTTGCTGCCCCTGTGGGGTGGTCACTGATTTCTACCGCCGCCCCTTGTTGCATTGTGTTTCTTATCTCTGGTATGCGTTTCAATGGACCCTTGTGGGCCAAAATGCGACCATCACGACCACCACGACCACCACGACCACCACGACCACCACGACCACCACGACCACCACGACCACCAC